CTCTCTACTAAACCATTGGTTTTTGGATGATACGGTGCCGATGTGACATGACATATGTTATTGTTCTTACAAAAAGCCTTAAACTCATGGGACGTGAAGGGGGTGCCATTATCGGATACAATTTTTTTAGGAACGCCGTACCTCGAAAACCAAGTCCTTAATCTATTTACAAGAGCAGCAGTTGTCGTACGGTCCATAACTTCGATCTCAACCCACTTTGAGTAAGCATCGATTCCTACTAACCAGAATCGGTTGTCGAATGGACCTGCGAAGTCGAGATGAATTCGCTCCCAAGGATCACTTGGCACATTCCAAGGATATAGAGGTACTTCTGTGTCAAATGATCGGTTACTCTGGCAAGGGTGGCATCTACGGACATAAACCTCGACATCCTTATTCAGATTAGGCCACCATACATAATACCTTGATAGGGATCTCATGGCCTCTATTCCAGGATGTCCTTTGTGGAGTTCTTTTAATACATTTTCTCTCAAAATCTGTGGCACCACTATTCTTCCTAATCGCATGATTATACCGTTTTCTAATGTCAGCTCTTCTCTCTTATTCCAATATGGTTTCATGGATGGTGGCAAGTTTCCTGTATCTTTTGGCCAACCATGTTCCAGGTAGTCTATAAGTTTCTTCATATTTGGGTCTTTCTTATATTCCAGTACAAGTTCATGATTTGGATAAACTACGTCGATTTTCTCCTGAACCAATGCTCGAATCTCTCTCTCATCTGGATCCAATACTTCTTGTGTCTTGAGTGAAAATCTAGACAAAAAATCAGCCAAACAATTATCCTGTCCTTTGATGTACTGGATCTCAAAATCATACTCCATTAAATACAAAGCCCAACGAACCAAACGGTTGTTTACTACTTTGGTAAGATCTCGATGCATTCCAAATATTCTTTCAAGTGGCTTGTGGTCCGTCCTCACCTTGAAATGTCTCCCACTGAGGTATTGTCTAAACTTCTTTACGGCAAAAACTAACGCCATAGCTTCCTTGTCAACTGTAGCATACCTTTTTTCTGCTTCCGTTAGTGTCCTCGAGGCGTACATGACTGGCCTTTCCGTTCCATCCGGCATCAAATGTAACAGCACTGCACCAACCCCTTGTTCACAAGCATCACATTCAATAATGATCGGCTTTGATATGTCGTATGGAACTAATGTCTTCTCTAATGACAGGATATTCTTCAACTTGTCGAACGTACTTTGTTCGGTGTCAGTCCATTTCCATTTAGTCTTCGTACCAGTCAGCTTATGCAAGTTCGAAGCGATAGCATGAAGATTAGGTATGTACCTTTCGTAAAAATTTAGTGCTCCTAGAAAAGCTCGTAATTCTTTCACGTTTCTTGGCCTTGGTGCGTGTCTTATGGTTTCAACTTTGTCTTCGGAGGGATGAATACCATTCCCATCTATTGTATGACCTAAATACTTAACAGATTTCTGAAATAACTTACATTTTGATAGTTTTGCTCTTATTCCACTTGATTCTAGCCGCCTCAAAACTTCTCTAAGAGTGGTTATATGGGTAGTCTTATCCTTACTAGAAATAATTATGTCATCAAGTAGAACTCCGACATTAAGTCCTTTTAGTAAACTTTCCATGTACCTTTGAAATTTTGCCGGACTCGAGGAAAGTCCAAAGGGCAACCTTTTGTAGCGAAAGTAACCTACATGAGTTGCTATTGTCAGATACTTTTGTGACTCGGGGTGTACTTTCATTTGCAAGTACGCGTCTCGAAGATCTATGACTGAAAATATCTTTCCATCAGTTAATTTGGAAGTCAAGTCATCAAAGGTTGGCAAGAGGTGTCTTTCCGGGACGATGTTTGGATTCAAGGTTGTACGAAAATCGCCACAGATTCTTACTCTACCTCCGCCCTTGTCTACGTTAACTGTTGGGGTACTCCATTCTATCGGTGTTTCGGAAGGGTCCACTGGTTCCAAAACTCCTTCCTGTACTAATCTCTGTAATTCTCGCTCCACTGCCTCCCTTAAGGGGAATGGAACTCGTCGTGCCCCGTAAGATACAGGTTTTGTTCCACTTTTTAGATGGATGACTTCATTAGAGTCAGATATCGTTCCTAGCTCATCACGGAAGAGTTCGGAAAACTCCTGAGTTAATGCCTCTACTTCTTTTTGTAACTCTTTTCTATAACTTTCTTCGTTCTTACCTGCCTCTTTACTACTTGTCTTTCCATTGTCAATACGCCTAACCATTACTTCTCTAGGCAAATTAAGATTGAAAGCTACACTCCACGGCAACCCAAATAATGGAACATCATCTTCTAGTAATACAATGACCGGCAATCGCTTAGTACGATTACGTAAAGTAACGTCCACAAAAGCCTTACCCATGACTTCTAGCTTATTTTTCCCATAGCCAGTGATGACATCAGACGTCTTTTTGAGAGATTCGCCACTTGAATTTATCCTATCCCAAAGAGACAAACTTATAGCACTTACCCGAGCCCCGGAATCAAACTCCATTCTAACATTATACCCGTTCAATTCTACATCTATTGTAGCTCTGGGAACCTTACTCTTGACTGACCTAATTTGTGTACCACTAACATCAATATCAGAACTACACTCATCATCATAAGTTTGATTACAAGAATCATCTACTTTTCTCAAATTACCATCTGTTCTCTTGACAAAATTATTTTTACTTTTGCACATTCTTGCGAAATGGCCTCTCTTTGAACATTTCTTGCACACAGCAGAAATAGCAGGACACCTATCTTCACTAGGGTCATGTGTAAACCCACATCTATAACACCTATTGAAGCCAGTAGATTTCTGTACCTCTGGTTTCCTATTTTCCTTACTGTCACTTACTTTGAAAATCTCATTTTTACACGCATGTTTGGAAACTTCTTCTCTCGCACGTTCCATGGATTGAGCTAACTCTAGTACTACTGTTGACTTAACTCGCTCACCTCGGTTATCAACTCCCTCGGGCCATCTTTGTCTGACTTCGACTTCAAATTCTGGACAGTTGCTTCCTACTGCAAACCTATCTCGTACTCGTTCATCTAAGCTATCTCCATATTTACAACTTCTAGCTAAAGACTTCAATCTGTTATAAAACAAAATAAATGTCTCACCATCTTTTCTTATAGCTCTTTCAAACTCAAACCTTGTTGCAAAAAGGGTCCTTGTAGGCTTGAACAACCGGTTGGCTTCCTCTTTGACTTCGTCGTAGGTGCACTCCTCCCAGGCCCTTGGATACATCTGGTCCGACAGTGCCCTGAGGTGCTCCTCTCCGATATTTGCCAATAGAAGATCTCGCCGAGCCGCCTGTTCTTCTGAGTCAGCACCACCCAGTCCCTTAACTCTGCAGGTCAACTCAAAACGAGCTATGTAGTCTTCCCACAATTGTTCACTATTGTACTCTTTAAATGAAAATCTGCTCATTCTATCTTGTATGCAAGACATGTTACTAAAATCAATTACACTCTTATACTGAGATTGGTCTGTTTTCCTCGGCATTTCCTCGTCGCCAATATAAAATAATTAATTTATAAAACTCATTTAAGTAAACTCAACCAAAACTATTTATTTACAAAAACAATAATCATGTAAACAAACCAAATAGCAGATGATTCATAACTTTATAACTCAGCTGATAACAATAATCCTACATACATCTTGAGTATTTTCATAATCTTTGAGTCGAATATTTTAAAGTCACCACAAATTCGTTTTAAAATAACGCCTGTAATACTTAGCATTGCTCGAATTCAAGCAACAGGTACACTAGTTAACATTAATCAATGCAGAATAACTTAGAAAACCCGAACTAAGTGTGTATGTTGTTGTCATGGTTTTGCCAACGACAATAATAGAATTGTATGAGATTCAGAAATCTGTGGAATTTGACCGAGACGTCGAGACTTAATTTTTATACTTTTTATTGCAATTCAAATTGTTGTACAAAGAAAATGATGTTGATAGTACAAGAAACCGTATATTTTTTGCTATCATAGTGTGTGCTCAGTCTTTTGCCATAGAAGATGCATATTGTACCTGTAAATTATCAGAGTGTACAGTACATAAAAACGGATGCAAAAGATTGAGTCAAAATTTATTAAGTATATTAAGCACTAATTAAATTACTGTAGTAGGCTAAATAAGTACAAATGAGCACCCTGAATATTATATTTTTAAAAGATCTTCTTTTAAAAATATAATATTCATGGTGCTCAGTTATACTTATTTACTACAATAATTTAATATATCAGCAGCCCTATTAAGTTAACACCTAAATTAAAACATAAGCACTTTGTCAGATCACTTTGCTACTTATTTCTAGTATAGTACAGTCAATCCGTATCCAACGTGGACAAAATTGGCGTCTGAGAAATTTTGTCTGAAACTTATGTTTTTTGGGGCGCTGAATCCGAATCTGAAGTTGTCCAACAAATATTTCTTGAGCGTTCCGAGATATTCGCAAAAAACATCAAAATTTTAGCACTTTTTTCAGTTTTTATATTATAAGTCGAAAACTATGAATTCTAGCGACTTTTACCCCTCACAAAATGAAAGTGGGCAAAATTTCCTTCAAAATGCACTATTCAAACTTGAAAATCGATTAGAAATAACCTCCGCTAGAGCGCATTGAAAATTGGTTATTTTTCTAACTTAAAAAAAATTCAAGCTTTTGGTCTGGTTTTTAATGTTACTCAGCAAACACCCACCCCCTTCCATACCATAACTATCTCAACCCCTTCTATCTCATCAAACCTCCCCCTTTAGCATAAAATACCCTACCATACCACACGCTCTCCCCAAACCCACGCCGTTCATTTTACTTATCTTGAACGGAATGTGATAAATAATGTTAGAGAGGTAGGTTTCTATGGTAATGATTACAATTTATTCATAGTTCATATTCACTATATCTACATAGCCTAACTAACATTATTTTTAAAATGTACACGTATAATCAAGTGCTCAGGCGGGGGCGTTTAGGCCCTGCGCAAGATGGTCCTGACTGTGGCTCCTGTGGCTCTGGCAATTCTTCTATATCATCTACTTCCAGGTTGTGCTCATCGAGTTACCATGAAATTCACCAGCGGAAGTGCCTTCACTGTTCGCCGTAGTAACAAGATGTGGTGCGGCACATTTACTGATCAGACCATTGAACAATCATTGATGAGAAGTATGAAAGTAGAGGGGGGACTGACCAGATCTCGTGACCTCTCCGACAGTGTAGCCTTTCGTTGGTTACAAGGACACACAGCAATGGCTCACATTACTGAAGTTGTTGAAGATTTTTGTGTTGTTAAATTTGGCACTAGTGAACAACATACTGATAGCAGAGAATCCAGAGTCCAGAGGGATAACGCTGACGCTAAGAAACTGTTGGAGTGGATGGAGAGTCATGACCCTTTCCCAGATAACAATCAGATTATAAGTACTGGAATCGTAGGTGATGAACGAGTCAATTGCCATCGTACAAGAGAATTAGGACAAGAAGGTGTTGAAAGGATTGTTGGTTTAAATTTCAAGACAGTGAAATTCAAAAGGCATGATCGAGTTAACCCACTCTCTGTGATGCACTCTGGAATCAAAGTTCACGACAAGGTAGTTATCATTGACCCTACGACACTCTATCGAAGAATGACTATCGCAAAGCAGTCTGAAGACGAGCTAAAAGAATTCTTGAAATACGAACTAAGTCCGTATCCTACGTCATTATTTCAAGAAGGGTCCATGAGGAAAGGAACGAAATCGAAACTATATGGCCAAGGGCTAAGGGTTTGAAGTTGCTGGACAAACACCCCCAGCTGTCTTCCCAGCTAGCCCTTTTCAGGACACCTTCCCATGACCCGACCTTTAATCAGGATTCCATGTTAGAGGCAGGAGAGTCTTTCTTAGCAGCCTTATACGGGGGAATTATCAGGACACACCTGGACGACCTAAGGTACAAAGTATACAAGACAGCACTTTTCAAGAACTCGGTTAAAATGGAATCCCTGCCTCCCACAACGAACGCTGCTCATATTCACCTCCTGAGGGTCTACCTTCAGGTCCAGATATGGCTTGGCCATCAGCCTCAGCCTGAACAGTTAGGCTGGAAAAGAACTGTCAATGGACTCCAGCCCATCCTATCCACAAAGCCTCCAGCCCCCGAAAGCTTACTTTCGATTATTGCATGTAAATGCCAAAAAAGCTGCAACACTAAAGTATGTAGCTGCAGAAAAGCTGGGCTATTTTGCTCTAGACTCTGAGCCCATTTTCGAGGCCTCTGAATGCAGCAACGTGAACCAGAGAGATCCTGATGACTACCACGAGGAACTCGATGAGCACAACCTGGAAGTAGATGATATAGAAGAATCGCCAGAGCCACAGGAGCCACAGTCAGGACCATCTTGCGCAGGGCCTAAACGCCCCCGCCTGAGCACTTGATTATACGTGTACATTTTAAAAATAATGTTAGTTAGGCTATGTAGATATAGTGAATATGAACTATGAATAAATTGTAATCATTACCGTAGAAACCTACCTCTCTAACATTATTTATCACATTCCGTTCAAGATAAGTAAAATGAACGGCGTGGATTTGGGGAGAGCGTGTGGTATGGTAGGGTATTTTATGCTAAAGGGAGAGGTTTGATGAGATAGAAGGGGTTGAGATAGCTATGGGATGGAAGGGGGTGGGTGTTTGCTGAGTAACATTAAAAACCAGACCAAAAGCTTGAATTTTTTTTAAGTTAGAAAAATAACCAATTTTCAATGCGCTCTAGCGGAGGTTATTTCTAATCGATTTTCAAGTGTGAATAGTGCATTTTGAAGGACATTTTGCCCACTTTCATTTTGTAAGGGGTAAAAGTCGCTAGAATTCATAGTTTTTGACTTATAATATAAAAACTGAAAAAAGTGCTAAAATTTTGATGATTTTTGCGAATATCTCGGAACGCTCAAGAAATATTTGTTGGACAACTTCAGATTCGGATTCAGCGCCCCAAAAAACATAAATTTCAGACAAAATTTCTCAGACGCCAATTTTGTCCACGTATGGTTGATTTTTACAACGGATTGACTGGACTAGTAGTAGTTTGCAAGAATAGTATTGAAGTAGAGTAGTAGTTAAAATGTAGTTCCATTAATCTCTGTTTCTCTAGTTTTATTTAAAATAGTGGCGTTTATTGTCTATTAGGGCTATAGATTTAATCCGCGCAAAATATACGAAACGTGGGTTTCTATGAAGTACACACAAAAAGAGTTTAAAGATTAATGTGCACGCATTAAAAGCTTTGCTATTGCAAAATTAAACTATATTAAACTATATGTTTAATTAAAATTATTATATTGTGTAACTACCGTTCGTAGACGAAATAGTTTTCAATGAGTGGAATCATGATTGGAAGGATGCTATGGAATAAATTTTTTTTCTCTGGAATTCAATTACAAAATCTTTTTTGAAATCATTATATTTATTTAGTTAACGTTGAAATATATATACATATACGTTGCCTATACATTATTCGCAGTTTTTTTCTTTTCGACTTCTGAACCCCTTAAAAAATAACCTTAAAACTTGTTATCCGGCTTTTTATTTTTCTGGGTGTCCGTCTGTATATAAATCGGCCAAGATCTCTAAATACATACATTCTTATAAATCAACGGGTAGATTCTGTTAGGTTATATAAATAACATCACCCAATATATGTAATATATGGTTGTTTGCATTGTCCCCCTTGTATGTTTATGTTTCCTTTCTTATCCCAATTTATGAAGTATCTTCATGTTAGGTTGTTGTTTGTTGTAAATCTCAATAACACTCGAGTTATATGTTATTTATTAAATGACTGTTCTTTAATGTACATCCTTATAAAGAATGAAATAATATAAAATATTATACTTGTATGATAGGTTAAATTACTGATAATTTTATCGAATTAATTATTACAAAACATTATTATTTGAAAGATTTCGACAACAGACTAATGCGTTACTCACTAAAAAAATAATACTTATTCAAATTTTTTAATCTCAAGAAAATAACTGAGTTAATGACATTTTACAAAACGTGTAGTGTTCTAACATTAAAATTGATATTTTGACAAAGCAACTGAGTTAGGCAAACATTTTAAAACAATGGTTATTTAAAGTTAATTTAAGTAATAACGTTTAATTAAATGTAGAATTTAAATGAACTACACGTGGCAGCCTGGTCTAGGGGAAAGGGATGATGCCTAACAAAAGATATTGTTCTGGGTCGTCACCATCAATTTAAAACTCAATTTAGAGCATGTTCCATTTTCATGTAGAGAGTAGTTAATTAATGATTAACTCTCACAGGTTAACTGTTAATTAGGAACTTAACCTTAACTTAAGGAGTGACTTAATTTAAATGGTTACGTGAATCTTCCATATAAAGGTTGACTAATACACGAGTTTATAGGAATCGGTGTAGTTGTATTAAAACGTCTGTACTTATTGTAGAGGTACAACCTAGTCATATAGTCATATACTTATAATAGTAGAGCTGAATAAACAAGATAGCCTAATATTGTATGTGTTTAAAATGCCCTCAACTCGAAATGCTCTAAGGGTTAAGTTAGTGCGAAGAAGGAAGGTTTCATTTCATAAGACCGTTGGACCTCTTTATTTTCGTATGCTATGAGCAAGACAAATCACGACACAAGGCCAGGTCGAGGCAGTAAAGTCTCGTCCGTGTGGGATCACTCAATTATCATTACCTGTGAGTAAGGTTCAACTCCTAAGTGACTCCATCTTGTCCATCCAACTTAATCATTTTCTCCAGTCAAAAAATTGACTTCGCGAGTTATTTAATACGGTATATCGTTGTTTTTTTAACACACTTTTAATTTATCTTATTTGTGTTCACTATTATTGTGTTCTACCTCAGTACTGTCAATTATAAACTTTTTTGGGACAGCGGTTGATTTTTTTTTTTTCTTCAATATCAATCCATATGCGCAATATAACAAAATCAATAGGCATAAATTGCTTTGATGTCCATTTTTATTTGAAGTCATTTTTCAGCATTTTTGTAGCGATAAAGCTGATAAAGCTGTTAGTAGGCCTAGTTGACTACATAATTTCATTTTTAATTTTGATATGTATGACCGGTAATTTTCGCACATTTTAAAACGCATGGCTTATTTTTATTCCAATTTAAGACGATGCTACTGCAATAGCAAGTTTATTTTCTTGTCTAATTACACCAAGTAAAACGTTGATAAGAAATGTTATGGCAGTGCCACCAGGAGTATCCATGAAGAATAATGCATCTTCCATTATGTTTATTATAGTGTCATAGAATCGTCTTTGTTGATTAGTAAGCTTAAATTTTCGTTAACATCTTCTTGAAGATCACTGGTGTTCTATAACAATTCTCTGAATATATCGGAGTTCACCTCAACATAAGTTTGTGTATTAGGGAGCCAAAAAACTCACTTTCTTTCCACACATTTCAAAATCCTTCTTTTCAATATAACGAAGTGCCTCATTGTACACAATATCATTCACCCCTTCAAGCTGCAAAATACCTCCAGACATTTGGAGTCTGAATTTTTCCCAGAGAACTGCTGGATTATACATTCCACATGAACTTAACATTACGGAGAAAAGGTATCGGACGTGCGAGGGTGATCTGTATCGTACTACTTCTTCGAGTGTGTTCTTTCATATTTGGTCATCTTCTAAACCACCCAAAGCTTGGCAGGTCTCTTTGTACGTATCACAGGCAAAGACAGTATTTCCAACAGTTCTAAAATCGATGAAAGAAAGATTTGGTGCCACGGATCCTGTGTAAAGGTTGTTAAAGGTTGGTTAACTTGACATCAGGATAATCTTGAACAGGTTGCCCCAATCGTCTTAATTTGAATTCTCTAGTAGAGGCATTTCAGGTGTAGTAGTGTGGTACATCTGGGTAAAGGAGACCTCTTGCAATCGGACCAGTTGCACATAGTTTAAAAATGCAAAATATAAAAAAGGGTGTCCCGTAACTCTCAGGACACATGTATCTATATATTAATTTGAAACTGTTTTTCTTTGTGATAGCTAATTTGAGAGAACGGCTGGGCGTAGAAGCTCGGTAGAGGTGTCTAAAGAAAGGGCTTGGTCTGTAGATAAGCCATTAAAAGAGAAACGTGGGAAATTCCCTTGGGGCTCTGCCCCAGTGGTCTTTAAATTCCCATCCCATGTTATTCTTATGGGGGGACGGTTTTTTGTCACAGCTAATTTCAGAGAACGGCTGGGCGTAGAAACCTGGTAGGGGTCTCTAATGAAAGGTCTGTAGATGAGCCATCAAAAGAGAAACGAGGTAAATTTCCTTGGGGCTCTGCCCCAGAGGCCTTTAAAGTCCCCTCAGCAGATTTTTTTACATTATGGCCATATGTACAATTTTACACTACTTTTTAATGAAACAGCTGTTAATATTTAAATTGTGATTTACTGAATTTGTCAAAATGAAGTATTTGCAAAGGTTTTTTTCTGATTTTAAAATCGATTTTCTTCTGCATCGTGTCATGTTTTGCAATATGATGTTGTAATGTTATAATGTGCAATCCAAATCAGTGGAAAATCCTAATATCACAGTAACTCTTAAAATTATTTCTTATGGAGTTAACTTATGTCTATTGTATGGGTTGGTTTCTGCATTTTTTTACCACTTCTTGGAGATTGTACGTAGGCGTGTTGCACTTAGATGATGTTCTTTGGCGTATTGCATCTGTAGACGATACTTGGGTTGCTGCAATTATTACAATGGAAAAAGCGAGAAATCCTGGACA